CAAGGAGGTTGTTTCCTGCTTTCTCCTCTAGGGTTTTGATGGTTTCCTGTCTCACATTCAGGTCCTTTATCCATTTTGAGTTTATTTTTGTGTATGGTGTGAGAAAGTGATCTAGTTTCATTCTTCTGCATGTTCATGTCCAGTTCTCCCAACACCATCTGTTAAAGAGGCTGTCTTTTTTCCACTGGATATTCTTTCCTGCCTTGTCAAAGATCGGTTGGCTGTATACTTTTGGGTCCACTTCTGAGTTCTCAATTCTGTTCCATTGGTCTATGTGTCTGTTTTTGTGCCAATACCATACTGTCTTGATGATGACAGCTTTGTAGTAGAGGTTAAAGTCTGGGATTGTGATACCTCCCGTTTTGGTTTTATTTTTCAGTATTACTTTAGATATTCAGGGTCTTTTGTGGTTCCATACAAATTTTAGGATAGTTTGCTCTTGCTTTGAGAAGTATGCTGGTGCAATTTTGATTGGAATTGCATTGAATGTGTAGATTGCTTTGGGTAGTAATGACATTTTAACTGATATGTATATGTTTAAATACTCGTTTTCAGATGTAGGACATTACTTCACATTAAAAAGAACCATTTGACAGCTACATGTTGAGAGTAATGTTTTTCTAACTAAAGGTTTGTTGTTGCCTTTGAGGTTAAGTTTGGGAATTTCTAACCTTTAGGGATTCATAATCAAATTTATTAGAATTTATTTTAACGGGCCTATTTCTATCTATCCATCCATCTATTCATGTATCCAGTAATTTACCATTATTTTAATGACTGATGAATCTAGATAAAAATAAAGATTTGAAATTTTTTCAAAATAAATATTATTGAGAAAAAATGAAGAATTCAGTACTCTGATCCTTAGGTAGAAATTTATATTTTTAACAAGAGACAACATATGGTTCTTACATTATAAGCAAATATGCCTGAGATTGATAAAGAAAATTAATAGTTCTCATAAATTAATAGCTCTCAATTTAATAAAATTATTTTAAACCTGATTCAAGTGAAAACTACAATCTATAAAGATGTTTTAAAAAGCAACTCATATCAATGAATTTAAACAAAGTAAAATACACCTGCACAGTGCCTCATATGCTACAAATGCTCAGTTTGCTTACTTTTCCTCTCCTTCAAGATGTTTATTTTTTCCCCACCACCTAGTGTTCTCAGTTCTCTCTTATACAGTATTTCTTTCTTTCTTTTTTTAAAATGTTTTATTTATTTCTGAGAGAGAGAGAGAGAGAGCATGAGCAAGGGAGGGTCAGAGAGAGAGGGAGACACAGAATCTGAAATAGGCTCCAGGCTCTGAGCTAGCTGTCAGCACAGAGCCCGACGCGGGGCTCAAACCCATGAACCGCGAGATAATGACCTGAGCTGAAGTTGGATGCTTAACCAACCGAGCCACCCAGGCACCCCTACAGTATCTCTTTCTTTTACAATCCAGGATTTGCATAATATATCTAATTATAACATGTCTCTATTTAGTTAGCATGTTATATGAGGCAGAATAATTTCCAGTTGATATAAGCATGAATATTGTTAACATAATTGTTCCTTAATATTCAGTGGATTGTTTTCAGGTTTCTCAATCTCTCAGCAAGGGCCAACAGTGCCATAGGTTGAAAAGAGGGGGAGGAGCTAGAATGGCAGAGTAATGGGAGGACCCTAGGCTTGCCTCATACCTCAAGCACAGCTAGATTAATATCAAATCATTCTGAATACCCAAGAAATCAATCTAACGGAACAGACTGAACACCTAGAGAGAGAGAAGAGGCCATATCATGGAAGGTAGGAGGGGTGGAGATATCATTTGGGGGAGAAACAGATCATGGATGCAATGCAGGGGAGGGAGCCCTGGTCACAGAGAGAGGGGCCTGAGAGAGAAAGAGAGAGACAGAGAGAGAGAGAGGAGTGCACAGGGGGCTGGATAAGGAAAATGCTTCCGCAAAGCCACTGACTGGGAAAACAACAGGGGCTGACATTCATGAGTATTTGCAACCAGTAGAGCCCAGGGACTGTAATTTCAGAGGTCTGGGGCATGGCCAGTGTGGAGCCCTGAAGGTGCTGCAATGCTTCTCTGGAGAAGGAGGGCAGAGAGCCTGGGAGCAGACTGCAGGATCTGAGGGTCTCCAGGAACGCACTGGGAGAGATGGCTCCCAGTTCTTGGAGCACATCTGGGAGAGGTGGTATTGCCATTTCACTCCCTTACCCATCAGCATAGGCGCAGAGACACCTGCTGAGGGCAGCTAGCCTGGGCACTGGCTCTTTGCTGTGCTTCACTCCAAACTCCATGCCCCGGTGCTTTGGGGGGACTGCTCTTCTGGGACAAACATGCATCAGTCCCAGAGTGGTGAAACCCTACCCCACAGAACCAGTGTGGGTCCCTCCCATGCCAAGTCCCTAAAGTTTGGAGTTTTAAAACTCAGCCAACTTGCCTGGGGTAGAACATGGTGAACTGTGCTACTAAGCTGGCAGATGGCCCAGACACAGACATGGTGAAGGCAGTGATCTAAAGAATGCCTGGGACACATGAGGGTGGATTACTTGCTCTTCGGGGAAGGCTTCCCAGCCAGCAATAGGTGTGAACTCTCCAGGGATTAGAGGGTTGGCTGGTGCTTTTTTCCTCCCCCGCCCCTTAGCACAAAATAACTTCAGTAAGCAGCACAGTCCCAACAATGGCGGTCTGAATGACTTACACCAAGCCCCGCCCCCATGCTCTGCTGCTGTTGCTTTTTCTCCGGCACCAGAGCAGTGGGTCCCTCCCCTAGAAGACCAAAACAAATCCTTGCACATACCATGTCTACTGACCATAGAGTGCTGTAAAGCTTCAGCTCTAGTGGAAAGAGCAAGCAGACCAGAGAACAGTTAGTTAAAACTTGCCACACTCTGGCCAAGGTCCAAACGTTCCCGAATGCAGGCAAGGAGAAATTCTAGAGAGGAGTGACCTAAGGGGAAGAGTAGCCAAAACACAGGAGCAGAGGGCAATTAGCATACACTAGAGACACTTACTTAAGGTGCCAGACCCTGGGTAGTATATGACCTCTATTTCATAAAGCCATTACTCTCAGTAGCAGGAAGCATAAAAGGCTTTCCTAACACACAGAAAAAGACAGAGAGCTAGACAAAATGCCAAGAAGGAGGAAATGATCCCAAAAGAAAGAACAAGAAGAGGTCACAGCTGGGCATCTAATTGAAACAGATATAAGTAATATGCCTGAATCAAAATTTAAAGCAACAGTCATATGGATACTAGCTGGGCTGAAGAAAAGCAAAGAAGACACTAGGGAGTCCCTTACCACAGAGATAAAAGACCTAAAAACTGGTCAGGACAAAATGAAAACTTCAATATCCCAGATTCGAAATTGACTGGTTGTAATGACCACAAAACGTTCCATGCTCATGGACTAGAAGAACAGACATTGTTAAAATGTCCATACTAACCAAAGCAATCTACACATTTAATGCAATCCCTGTCAAAATGCCACCAGCGATGGGGCACCTGGCTGGCTCAGTTGGTTAAGTGTCCAACTTCACCCTATTTCATGATCTCGCCATTCCTGAGTTCAGGCCCTGAGTTGGGCTCTGTGCTGACAGCTCAGATCCTGGAGCCTGTTTCAGATTCAGTGTCTCTCTCGTGTTCTCTGCCCCTCCCCCACTCATGCTTAGTTTCTCTCTCTCTCAAAAATAAATAAACATTAAAAATAAATGCCACCAGTAGTTTTCACAGAGCTAGAACAAACAATCCTAAAATTTGTATGAAACCACAAAAGACCCTGAATATCCAAAGCAACCTTAAATGCAAAGCAAAGTTGGGGTGCCAGGGCGGATCAGTTGCTTAAGCAACCAACTGAAGCTCAGGTCATGATCTCACAGTCTGTGGGTTTGACATGTGTCGGGTTCTGTGCTGACATCTCAGAGCCTGGAGCCTGCTTTGGATTCTGTGTCTTCCTCTCTCTCTGTCCCTCCACTGATCACTGTCTCTCTCTTAAAATAAACAAACATTGAAAAAATTTTTAAAAATTAAAAAAAAAAAGCAAAGTGAAGTGGAATCAGGTTCCAGACTTCAAATTATATTACAAAGCTGTAGTGATCAAGACAGTATTGTACTGGCACAAAAAATAAACTCATAGATCAATGGAACAAAATAGAAATCCTAGAAATGGACCCACAACTAGATGGTCACCTAATCTTCAACAAAGCAGGAAAGAATATCCAGTGGAAAAAAGTCTCTTTAATAATTGGTGCTGGGAATACTAGACATGCAGAAAAATGAACCTAGACCACTTTCTTACATCATATACAAAAATAAACTCAAAATAGATTAAAGACCTAAATGAGAGACAGGAAGCCATCAAAATCTTAGAGGCAAACATAGGCAGTAACCTCTTTGATATCAGCTGTAGGAACTTCTTACTAGATATGTCTCCTGGGGCAAGGGAAACAAAAGCAAAAATGAATTATTGAGACTTCATCAAGATAAAATGCTTCTGCACAGCAAAGGGAACAGTCAATATTAAAATCCTAAGAAAAGTTTATAAAAAGGTTAAAATAAAGGTTAAAAAAAGGAAACAATCAACAACCTACAAAATGGGAGAAGAAGGTTAAAAAAAGGAAACAATCAACAACCTACAAAATGGGAGAAGAAATTTGCAAATGACATATCTGATAAAAGGCTGGCATCTGAAATTTATAAAGAACTTATGAAACCTGACACCCCAAAATAAACAATCTGTTAAGAAATGGGAAGAAGACATGAACAGACACTTTTCCAAAGATGACACCTAGAGAGTCAAGATACATGAGAAGACACTCAACATCACTCATCATCAGGAAAATACAAATCAAAACCACAATAAGATACCATCTCATACATGTCAGAATGGCTAAAATTAAAAGCACAGGAAACCATAGATGTTGGTGAGGATGCAAACAAAGGGGAACCCTCTTACTCTGTTGCTGGGAATGCAAACTGATACAAACATTCTGGGAAACAGTATGGAGGATCCTCCTAAAAGTTAAAGATATAACCACTCTAAGATCCAGCAATTGCACTAGGTATTTACTCAAAAGATCCAAAAAACTGATTTGAAGGGATACATGCACCTCGATGTTTATGGCAGCATTATCAATAGCCAAAATATGGAAAGCACTCAAATGTTCAATGACTGATGAATGGATAAAGAAAATATGGTGTGTGTGTGTGTGTGTGTGTGTGTGTATATATATATATATATAATGTAATATTACTCATCTATTAAAAAGAATAAATCTTACTGTTTGCAACGACATGGATGGAGCTAGAGTGTCTTATGATAAGTGAAATAAGTCAGTAAGAGAAAGACACACACTATCTGATATCACTCATATGTGGAATTTAAGAAATGAAACAGATGAACGTAGGGGAAAAAAGAGAGGTAAACCATAAAACAGACTCATGAACTATAGAGGGTTGCTGGAGGAGAGGTAGGTGGGGGAATGGGTTAAATGGGTGATGGGTATTAATGAAGGCACTTGTACTACAAAGCTGTCATCATCAAGACAGTATGGTATTGGCACAAAAACAGACACATAGACCAATGGAACAGAATTGAGAACTCAGAAGTGGACCCAAAAGTATACAGCCAACTGATCTTTGACAAAGCAGGAAAGAATATCCAATGGAAAAAAGACAGCCTCTTTAACAGATGGTGTTGGGAGAACTGGACATGAACATGCAGAAGAATGAAACTAGATCACTTTCTCACACCATACACAAAAATAAACTCAAAATGGATAAAGGACCTGAATGTGAGACAGGAAACTATCAACACCCTAGAGGAGAAAGCAGGAAACAACCTCCTTGACCTCCACCACAGCAACTTCTTACTTGACACATCCCCAAAAGCAAGGGAATCAAGAGCAAAAATAAATGATTGGGACCTCATCAAGATTTAAAGCTTCTGCACAGCCAAGGAAACAACCCAGAAAACTAATAGGCAACCAACGGAATGGGAAAAGATAGTTGCAAATGACATATCAGATAAAGGGTTAATATCCAGAATCTATAAGGAACTCACCAAACTCCACACCCGAAAAACAAACAACCCAGTGAAGAAATGGGCAGAAGACATGAACAGACACTTCTCCAAAGAGGACATGCAGATGGCCAACAGACACATGAAACGATGCTCAGCATCCCTCCTCATCAGGGAAATACAAATCAAAACCACACTGAGATACCACCTCACGCCAGTCAGAGTGGCTAAAATGAGCAAATCAGAGAACACAAGATGCTGGCGAGGATGTGGAGAAACGGGCACCCTCCTACACTGTTGGTGGGAATGTAAATTGGTACAGCCCCTCTGGAAAACAGTGTGGAGGTTCCTCAGGAAACTAACAATAGAACTCCCCTAGGACCCAGCAATAGCACTGCTAGGAATTTACCCAAGGGATACAGAAATGCTGAGGCATAGGAGCACATGTACCCCAGTGTTCATAGCAGCACTCTCCACAATAGCTAAAACATGGAAAGAGCCTAAGTGTCCATCAACAGATGAATGGATCAAGAAGATGTGGTTTATCTATACTATGGAATACTACATGGCAATGAGAAACAATGAAATCTGGCCATGTGTAGCAACATGGATGGACCTTGAGGGTGTTATGCTGAGCGAAATAAGTCAGGCAGAGAAGGATAAATATCATATGTTTGCACGTATAGGAGGATTAGGAGGAACTTGACGGAGGAACAAGGGGAAGAAGAAGGGCGGAAATGGTGGGGGAAAGGGAGAGAGGCAAACCATGAGAGACTCTTGAATGCTGACAAAAACTGAGGACTGATGGATGTGGGGGGGACGGGGGGATGGGCATGGAGGAGGACACTTGTGGGGATGAGCACTGAGTGTTATGTGGAAACTAATTTGACAATAAACTATTTGTAAAAAAAAAAAAAAAAAAATGAAGGCACTTGTGATGGGTACTGGGTGTTATATGTAAGTGAAGAACTAAATTCTACACCTGAAACTAATAGCACACTATATATTAATCAACTTGAATTTAAATAAAAACTTGAAACTGATAGGGAAAAATTATAAGATGGCCAACAAGACTGATAATGGAATTACAGTTCCCTCCCAAAGATTCCCCTTCTGGGTTCTTCTTCCTGCTCCACTTGCCCGGTGTGCCAAACTACTAATGAAGAGGTAACAGACTATAAATTGTCCCCCATGCTTGTGCTCGGGTCGCAGACCTCTGGAGAGTGGTCTCCTCTGAGACCACTGGTGAAATAATCTGCCTTCCGAGATCTCTAAGTG